AGGAAGGGCTTTGAGGTGACTCTGTCTCCGCGGCTCTGCCCTCCGCGGGCCCGCAGGGTGGAGGCGGTGGGCGGCAAAGCCGTGTGCGGTCTCCGGAGTTCCGTGAGAACACACGCGTTCCGGGAGATCACAGAACGTGCTCAGTGGGAAGGGGCACATCAGGATCATCACAGGCCGACTCCTGGCCCTGCACAGGACACCCCAGGAGTCACACCGTGTGCCTCAGAGCACTGTCCAAAGGCTTCTTGGACTCTGTCGGGCTGCCTGGTGCTGTGACCACTGCCCTGGGGAGCGGGTTCCAGTGTCCAGCCACCCTCTGGGTGAAGAACCTTTTCCTGATACCCGACCTTACACTTCGTGCCGTTTCCTCGAGTCCTGTTACTCCCTAAATTGCCCTTCTCAGAGAGCAGCCACATTTGGAGGATGACTTTCCCAGTTAAAGTGTTTCTTGCTGGTTTAGAATCGGCATGAGGCACCCTTTAAAAGCCGGTGTTCATTTATCTACTTCTGATTGTTCAGAAGGGCCCTGTCCATGTCCAGACGGGCTTCACGGCCATGCTCTGCAGAAGGGAGTTACCTACATCAGCGACTGGTCTGAGAGCAGGAGGGGAACATGTGTTTTGTTGGGTTTAGTTCCTCAAAAGTTGTTTCTAATGAGCTAAATAACAACAAGATACACATGATGTGGGGAGAAAAAAAAGAAAACAAGAAAACCAGCAATCTTAGGTTTACTAGATCAAGGCCTTGAGAATCGATACTACTGAGCTGGCCATGTGCATATGGTAACATGCTCAACACTTTCCTTGTCCTTTGCTTACTTTTGTTTTTAGCTGGTGCTTCTGTTTAGTTTAACAAAGATGTGTGTCCTTACTAAATTAGGTTTTTTTTATGGTCTAGTTTAATTTTGTTTTTAAAAAATTCTGTGCGTAAAAGAATGAAAGTGAAAGAGTTTATGTGTCCAGCTCTCTTGTTAATGTTAATGCTTTAATGCTTGAGGAAATAATTTTCTGTAATGTTGGAGGAGTAAGGGAAGATTATGGTTAGAGGTTGATTCCACTTGTGGTTAAAGTACTCTACAATTTTCTTTTTTTTAATATATATTATTTTGTTCATAATGTTTGTAATGGGGCGATTTTATTTGGTTTCTAGCAGTTCCAGAATAGAATTTAAAACAGAAGTCGCCACAGTGCTGTTGCTGTGGGCTGGCCTGTAAACCTGAGTTGTAAACCTTTGTACAGCACTTGTGATGGAAAGTGGTGGTCAAATTGCTTGAATCCATTTTGTGCATTATGCTTGCTCCAGACAAACTATAACAAGTGCAGAATGCAAATGCAAAACAGTATAGAAAAGTATGAGAACAACCCTGGTTCTACGCATCAGATTTAGGTAGAGGTTGCATTTATAGCTTGGCAGGGAAGGCAACTGGACATAGCAAGTGTGTAATAGCTTTTTAGGCTGAGGATTACAACTTTGCAAGTTGTAACAAGCACAGAATCGTAGGCTGGAAAAGACCTTTTAGAACATCGAGTCCAACCAAATGCTGCCAAGTCCACCAGTAAACCATGTCCTTAAGTGCCACATCTACACATCTTTTAAATACCTCCGGGGATGGTGACTCAGTGACTTTTCTGGGCAGCCTGTTCCAGTGCTTGAAAGCCCTTTTGGTGAATAAGTTTTTCCTAATGTCCAGTCTACATGTTACACATTAAATTTAAACTTTGCATAGAAAGAAAACTTGGAAATACAGCCAGTATTTGAAAGGAAAGAAAGTAACGTTTTACTTAAGGAGGGAGAAGAAGATAATAGAGCTGCCATCAGTCTTTTTCACTTTGTAAACTGTCTCAAAGCAGAATCACCCATAATTTGCTTTTTTTTTGTAGTGTTCAAAACATATAATGCTAAAATTTCAAAAGAGCCTGAAAGACTAGCATTTCAGGAGATTTGTTGGCTTTTGTTTGATGTCACAGTCTCCTCCTCCCTCTCCTCCAAGTTCTGTTCCTAAAATCAAAATACATTATCTGAGCATACAAGTGCTCACATTTGAGTAGCATTTGGACCATGGCAGTTCTTGATACAGAAGGTCATAGTTAAATTTTCTCTTACTGAGTTTTCTGTGACCTTTTCATGGACAAATTGTAGTCAATAACAGTAGAGGTTTTTGAAGATCTTTGTGAAGTTCAAGAGGTGGGAATAAATAATAAAATAATGATTTCTCCAACATCATTAAGGAATTTGTAAAGTTTTAAGTCCCAATTCTGTAATCATTTAGGTAGTTGGTTGAGTTACCTCCGTGTTCATTCTGTGCAAGTATTTGCAAGGCCTAGATCTTGGCTTTCTAACTGAAAAAAAAAAAAAAAACCCAAAACAAAAGCAGTGTATAAGGGGAAAAAAAGTGTTAGTTCAAGCCTCCCTAAGATACATTGTTTGTAACTGAGGTGACAAGAGCCTTGAGGAAACCCTTGTGTGTCGGGAGTGTCTCAGAAGAATCAGAGGTGCTTGTGGACTTCAGATCACAACACTCGCATAAGCAAAGTGCTTGTGGGGTGTGTTCGGAAGCATCTAGTTAAGGAAGTAACTTTGATTTTACTGTTTAACTTAGCACAAGGTGAGATCTGTGTCAGTTTTGCAACCCTGTTTTTTGTCACGTGGAGTATTTAGGTCAGAGAACAGTTAGTTCTAGTTATGCTAATTGTGCTTAACAGGAAGAAAATTGCTGGGTTTGAATCCTTCTTGCCTTCTGTTTTAATTTTGAAGATACATTAATTATGTCTGTAAATAAAAACCATCTCAATTTTGTTAGAGTGCTTAAGAGCAGATTTTCTCCATTGGGGAATTATGATAAATTTAACAATGCATTGGTGTATTGATGTGACCTTGTTCAGATGAGCCCATGTAATGTGCCAATAAGCCTGGCTAAGGACAGTGGCATTTTTTTTCTTTTGGTTTGGCCATTTTATTGAAAATAATGGGGCAAGTTCTAAAGTCAAACCAAACAACTTGAATTAAAATAATGGAGAATTTTAGCATTTTGAGTTGATAATATGTGGGAACCTCAACTTCAAGCAAGACTGAAGTCCTGTGGAATGAGTGGCAGTAGTGAAATTCCAGTTTGCTGAGCTGCCACTTGATTTTTTAGGTTGAACATCCTTGCTACTGTAAAATATATTCTTTGATGGATTGATTTGCTTAAGCTTGAAGTATTGTATACACTGAGGACTTACTAGTGCCTGCTCTTGAGAGGGGTGGCAGTGAAATTATGGCTGAATATACACTGCAGTGGTGCAAAGACAAACTGTAGGCACGGTCTGGTGTATATATGTATATTTATTTAAAAGGAGCAAATGCTATCTACAGAAGAATTCATCCTGTTTGTAGTACTTCAGTCTACAGGGGTTTTGGCCATAGGCTGTGTTGGTGAGACTAGGAAAAAACAGATTGGGAGTGGATCTCAACTAGTTTTCAAACAGAACTGTGTGGTTAAAGTTTCTTTAAGAGTCTGCTTCGTATTTTAGCTGAACCTATCTCTTTACAAATTGTCTTTTCCCATAAAGCCTATGTGCAATATTAGCATAATTAAATGTGAAGATCTTTTTCACTGGGTTCTGAAGTGGGTTACATAAAATTCTCTAGTAAAAGTAATTAACTTTTCTAAGGGGAGCAACAATTATTTTACCTCACTTTTTAAGATGTTCATCAAGATTTTTGTTTATCACTTAAGAGCAAATATGGTCAACTGTAAGTAAGAGAGTAAGACACAAGTTACCTTGTATCTGCTTGGGAGATGCTTAAGTCATTAAATGTAGTAAAGTATTGATTAAACTTATGTTGTATCATCTCTTATAGTCTTTTTCTAGGAAGTTTTGAATCCATTGGAAAGGGAACGGAAGTTGTTCTAGAAAGTCCTGTTTTAGCATTTTAGTGTATTAACTTATTTGAAATTAAGTCAATCTGAAGTATATTTGATATTGTATCATTTTCTTGCTAAATGCACTGCATAATTCTTGTACTCTTCTGTGTGATACAGGTGATACTGGCCAAGGAGCAAGAGCATGGATAAAACAGATTTTGAATCAAGACATGGCATTCCAACATATAAAAGTAATTTACCCAACAGCTCCTGCCAGGTACCATTTAATATATTGTAACTATAGGATTAAGTTCCTCTGTTCCAGTGCTATGAAGTACAGTTCTGGATATTAGTACAAATTGTCCTAACAATTCTTTCTTCTTTCTCATGTATATGCTTTCTGACAAAACTGAAACTCAACCATGCATTGTTGTCCAGGAACTGTGATTTTAAGTGGTTAAGACTCTAAAGGATTCCCAGAAGTCACAGCCTCTATTTGAAATTTGGGTATTGTCCTCATAGTAGCTTTCCATTTCCTTCATATAAGTGCAAGATGATCCTGCAATGTGTGTTGTAGTGGCATTAGAGAGTCATGATCCAGATCACAATTCTACCCATAATAACTCCCACATACTAACTATGAAAATATTGTTTTGTATTTAATGCCAGGTTTCTGTACTGAAGGTGGTCAGTCTTTTTGGCAAGTAGGATGTCAAAGATCCTCAGCTCCTGGAGAAAGGACTGGGAATTCGAAAATGCACATTACTTCTTCTTTGAATCCTGGCCCAACTATTTCAAAGAGAATTGAGTTCAACATTTGCTGTGAGCTCAAGTCTTGTTTTTAAATGACGCTGTGTATTCAGTGGTAGATGGATATATAGATAAAAATTTTTTCCTGCAGGAATTTGAAAGTTTATGTGGTCAAACCTAGAGGGTAAAAGTTGGACACCTACCCCCATAGCTATCCAAAGGTAATATTAAATATGGAATATATAATTAATTACATATATTATGTATGTAACATATATTAAATATATAATACTAAATTTTAAAAGTGTTTAATTTTTCTTAATACAATTTTTTTAAGGTGTCTGTGGCTCTAAATTAGGAAAATGTTTCCTTGAAAGGTAATGGGGTTGAGTTTCTTTCTGAATTTGTGTATAAGTGTGGATGAATGCTGAACGGAAAAGGAAATTGTTACATAGACTTTTGAGGTACAGAGGTTTCAAAGTCAGGAAAAATTCTTGGAGGGTTTAAACAAGTATAATAGCAGATTTTGTCTGTCACTCACTATTACATGAAACAAAACCATTTTCCTTGACCATGTATTTTTTATGGTCTACTTGGGCAGGAAAAACAACTGAGAGATTGCAGTGAATGTACTTGCTGTTTTACAGAAAAATCAAGCCCATGAGTGGAAGCTTTTGAAGCACTGTGTTCTGGGTTAGCAGGGAGTGAATCCCATTTTCTGTAAATAATTTCAGCCTGATGACAGGCTGAAGTGGTGCTAGAGTTATCAGTGGCACATCACACACACTGAGTGGGTCCACTGCTTCCCTCCCAGCACAGCAGGTACTGGGGAAATGCAGGAGGAGCTGCCTCCCTGGAAAATTATTTTTTTTCCCTTCTGCTATATGCAGCCAGAGCACCTCAGACCACATCTGGTGGGCCAGTGCTTGACTTTTCCATCCCACTGCACTTCTGAAGTCCAGTCCTTTTCTTATTTATTCTGGTTTCTTTGGGTAACTACAGATGTAAGTGATGTATGACTGATTAACCAGCATCTCCTGATAACATCTCCTGACTCAAATGAAGGAATTTGTTTTTATCTTATGACTTTGAATTTCAGTACTTTGCTAAACAGATGGGAAGATTCTGTTGTTATTAAAACATGTGAATAAACAGTTTATTTCACTCTCTTCTTTTTTAAGTTGAGGTTATTCTTGTTCTTTTCTAGAGCAGGTAGAGTCATGCATGAGCTGATTAAGTGGCTTTTAGCAAAACAGAAAAGTTGTACATTCAAAGAATATAAAATACCCACACCGTTTGTCTTTAACTGGCAAAGCACTCTTGTGTATAGCTCTTTGTTGCTGATGAGCAGCCCTAGCTGACACAGTAAAATGAAACAGATGCTCCTAAGCAGCTTGCCACTGTTTGCAGCAGTGCTGAAGTTTGTGATGATACATGTCATTGGTGGAAACCAAAATAACGAAGCATTTACAGACCTATTTCATATTGTTTTGGTATTCAAGAACAAACCACATTATGCTTTTTTGAAATGGTTTTGTAACAGTTGTCTTCCTTTCTTTCACAAAAAATAAAAGCAAGGCCTAGACCTTCCAAACTTGAATGGCTGACATTAAAGTAATTCGACTTGAGTACATATGTTGGTTTTATTTATGTGTATATTTATATGCATATATATTTTGATAAGAACTCAAAATGTTTCTGGCAGCAGGGGAGGAATTCAGCATTCTTGTTAATGATACCTATAGCTGGGTGGTTATGGACATAGAGATCTGCTGAGAAGATTCTGACACCAGGTTCTTTGCCCACCCAGCGGCTGAGGAATGTGCTGGCTGAAGGTCAGGCTGCTGAGAGAGAGCCTCCGTGGGTCTCTAACCTGCCACTGCACCGTCAGTGCAAAGCCTGCCTGCAGGTTCTTGTGCTGATGATGAAATCAAAGGAAAGCTTGAAGCTTGGCAGCGCCCTCCTAGGGTTGGCTGATGTGCTCTTCTGGCAAAATGCTGTTAATGTGGATGTGCTTCATGCTCTGAGCTCCTGTCTTTTCTTTGCACATGCACAGTGAATGTGCTCTGTCAAAGTAGCTATGCCAGTACAAGCACGATGATATAACTGCAAAGCTAGGGGCTTTGGCAGGATAAACTGCAGGTCGGGAATACCTCTTCATATTTTTGATGGAAATTAATAGATCCATAGATATCCATAGATATACATTCTTCATGTCTGTTCAATGGAGTTTTGAAAAGCAGTGGAATTCACATTTTTCAACACAACTTTTTTTTTTTTTTTTTTTTTTTTGTGGAGGATGGATTTGGGTTGTACTTATGTTTTGTTTAGATTTTGTCCCAGGTGCTGAAACATGCATATTTTTCATTTGTACAGCATCAGAGGTTTAGACATGTTTTGATTCAAGAGTCAGTGTATTTGAAAATTATTTTGGAAAACCAGTCCAGCATATAATCTGGAAGAATTCTGAAATATGTTCTTTGGCTTCACTAGCATTGATTTCGGCAAACACAGAAGAAGATTATGGGTAAAAGCAATGGAATTTAACTGAACTACATTTTATAAAACTGTTTTTTACTCTTCTCTTTAGGTATCTGTAAAAAGTCACACTTCTTTTTTTTAAAGAGATTTACTTTAATAATTTTTGTGATGTTCAGGGTTTGTGCAGAGAGCAATCACCTGATGCCCCCTGGACAGGAAGTGTTAACAGCATTTTGTTTCACTTATTCCCCATCACATTGGAAAGTGCATTGAGTGTCATATTTGGTTGTTTCTTGAGCAAAAATAACAGAATGTGGATAGTAAAATTTACAGTTAAAAAAGAAAAACTTCCAAAAATACTAAATAAATCACATATGGTAAAAAGCATGCTTAGATAAAAATGGAAAAAATATGTGCATTCCAAGACTTGGTGTGATGTAGTGAGAGTACTGACACCTGAGTTTGGAATATTGTTGGAAATTAGGTGCATTTGCCTGGGGTTTACAAATTTTGCTTTACAAATTAAAAGTTTTACACATTGCTAGGAGGTTTGGGGTTTTTTTTCCAAGTATCTCAGCAATATACTGAGATACTTAAAAATTAGCAGAGAACTTGTTTTAGCTGTGTCTAGCTTTCTGTCAAGATTAGCGCTTCTGCACATAGATTAAACTTGTTAAACATAACAGAATTCTATTTTCTCTCCATTGTAATGCTAATATAAATCTTTAAAAAAAACTCCAAGCTCAAATTGGAGCCCAAGTAGCTGATGCAATCTCTAAAGCCACGTCTACATTAATAGTTTTAAAGGAAAGGGTTTCCTTTTTCCCTTTTTATTTGGGTCAGGATGCCTACAACTTTAAATACTGTTTCAGCTGCTACAATTGTGACTTAAACATTAGGTTTCTATTGAGTTTCTAAATCAGAACTGAATACCACCCAATTTAAACTTCTTTTTTTTAATAGAAAGTGATAGTTTAAATTGGCATTGCAGTAGCTAACATGGTAAATCTAAAACCATTTAGGCTCTGCTTGTTTTAATACATATACCTTGCCTTCTATAATTCCCTGAAAAAATCTAGGCCAAAGATTCTTTGCATTGTCTTGCATTCCATTCTGGCAGTCCTTCTCTTTTGCAAGTCAGAAAATCAACTATAAGCTATAATAACTACTTTGGCGATTTTATGGATCTTTTTGACATTCACTCAACAAACCTTTCTGTGGGATGTAAGTCTCTGTGCAGAACTTGTTGTCTGGGGTGCAGGAGCCCCAATGTGTTCTAATTTTCCTTATCATTATGTGGCTGGTAAGGACTAAAAGGCCCACTGCTCCATCTCTTCTCCTCATTTCACATCTTTGCTCAGCTCATGGGTGGAAATGAGCTTCATCTCACCATAGTCCCCATCTGGCTCTATCACAAAACCACCAGACAGTTTGGCACCACTCAGCTCCTCTGGCAGCCTCTGCCTGTGAGAGGCCTCGGATTGGAAAAGCAGCAGGGGTACTGCAGCTCGGACTTGAGATGGATTGGAGGGGAGCGTGCACAGTGCCTATCATACTGTTTTTGGCTCAAGCAAATGTTATTAATCCTTGACTTTTGTAAGCCCTAACCTCATTCATAAATTTAACACAAAGGAGCCTTTTTTAAAGGTGGGAGCTTGAGGGAGAAATGGGAAGGTTTTGGGTTGGTATCGTGGGGTGGTTCTTTCATCTCCTTTAAGTAGAAATTCAATGTGTTCTGCATAATAATGCTTAAAGTATACTTGGATAAACTTTGTATTTCCCTTTTATTTCTGGTCTGGAATTAGGTGAGGAAAACTGCATATATCTAATGCTCACATCCGATGCTAAATAGCACATGCGATGCACTAAACATTTGTCAGAGATAACTGAAGTCATGCTTGGGGAAAACAAATTAGAACACGATAGAAATAATCTTGGATTTGTAATCCCTTTTACTGCATTGTAAATCCCTTGTACTGCATTGATGCTCTTAGGCATTCTTCATCTGATTTTTCTTCTCTCAACCCTTTTCTGGTACAGAAGAAT